GCAGGTATATGTGGAGTGTACGTGATCTTGATCTTGAGAGCATGATAAGTTTCTCAACAAGAGTCACAAGGTTTGACCAAACTCAACACCATGACAAGTAGTATATGTAGAAGGTTTCCCTAGTCTATATATCATGTATGGCTCTGGTAGGACATTACTTACCACAAAGGAGAGGTGTGCCTATTCATTTTACTTTTTGAAATAAAATTCTCCAATAACAAGACATAAAAAATCAAATTCTCATTATTCTACTATATCTCATTCCACAACAACTTAAGTGACATGGGGTCCCTAATAATAAGTTCCCAATAGTAGCATGACTTTTAGGAAAAGTATTATGTGAGTCTATCCTTAAGTCATGATTGAAATAACCTTTCCTCATGTTTTAAATTGTTTTATCAAGTGATTTTCAATTTGGTTCGAAACGGAAAGCAAAACATGTGAAAATAGAGTGTATGCGTCACAAACCTGATCGTGGACAAAGCTCGAGGTGAGGCAGTGCAGTGATGGGCCGGACGGCCCATAGAGGAGGCCGGGCGGCCCACTCTTGGGTCTGCTCAAGGTTCGCTTTGTTGTACGTGGTTCTTGACTCATTACTTTTCTGAATTTCATGATTTCCGCGATTAAATTACGTCTTGTTGTTGCAGTGTGTCTCCCCCACACTTATTTTCTTGTATAACTTTCTGCACAACATGTGGAGACAAACACATATCCAAAAGAAATATAGAGTAGATAATAATACGACTCCATTAATTTCAATAAGGCACTTTATTACACAAGCACAAACTAAGCACAAACTTTAACTAACCTAACACAATCTTTTAACCATCTGAGCTAAGCGATAAACCTAAACACATGATAACACTTAACCTAACACTTGTGCCTTATTAATCGACCTATTACTCAGTTTTCCCTTTATTCCCAACACAGCGGGAAAGGATAGAGATTTCGCTTTTTAAATTCTTCCGCTGAAGATGCTCTAATTCCATCCTATTATGCATAACTTTGATAGTCCTAGTAAGGAGATTGGTCTTCTCTTGGAGGGTTGTGACGGTCTGGGTAAGAAGATCAATCCTCTTCTCTAGGGCTACAACTATCGTCCTTTGACGCTTCTCTTCCCTCTCTAGTGGAGCTGGTGTAGGTCTCTTCGTCATCTCCTTTGGTGGAATGATCTTGATCTGCCCTGGTGCAGCTCATACGCAATCAAAAACTACTCGGGGCATGGCCATAGTGTATTTGGCACATGAGACCTCCTAGAACTTGTTAGTCTTCACATTCATTAGCATCTCATTGGGTCCTAGGGGGAGGAGCTTGATGTTCTACTATACTTAGATCATTGGGCCCTTCAACTAATGTGACTTGTTCTTCAGGAATAGGCGCTCCTACGCTGGAGTGAGCGTAGTTGACAAACTTGGGTGAGGTAAGACTGTCCATAGCTTCCTTTTGGAGGATCTAGAGCTAACTGCTTGGGAGGAACAATGGCTAGAGGGAGAGGTTCTCCTACAGGAACTATGGCTAGAGGCTCTTCTATAGGAGCTAGCTTGTTGAGGTCGGTCCCAATGGGGATGATCTGCTTGTCGGCCATGGGAACTGGAGCGGAGGAGAGCTTTCTGCTGTTGGAGAAGAATACTTTGATGGGATGGCTATGGAGGCAGGCGGAGGCTTATTTATATAGGGGGGAACAACTTGCAGTAGGGGTCAAGATCTATTCCTAAGGGTGCCGTACGAAAGGATATGCGAATGAATTGAAAAACTACAGGATTCTAACAAGGAAGCATCTAGAAGACATGAGATAGTTGAGGGAACGCGAGAGGGGCTGATAGTGGGCCGGGCTGCCTAGGGGTGGGGCTGGCTGGCCCCACATGTCATCCTCTCGGGGTGGTTTTTCTTACGTGGGTTTCTAAACTCTATCTAATCCCAAAAAGTATATTTTCTCATTACAATTCGGTATGGAGGATGGCAGTGGTGTAATTTATGGTAAAATCAGAAAATCTACCTCATCCAAATCCTCAGGTGTTTTTTAGGTTCTAGAAAGATCTTGAGATGGTGGCCATTTACCTTGAATAACGTACCTTCATTGTTTTGAAGTGTTACCGCTCCATGTGACGAGGTGCTTATCACCTTGAATGGTCCTTCCCATTTGCTTCAAAGTTTTTCATGCCTGAATAATTTAACCCTGTAATTAAAAAGTAATACCTTATCTCCGGGGGCAAACTCCTTCTTGATCCTCTTGTCATGCCATCTTTTGGTTCTCTCCTTGTATATCTTGGCATTATGATATGCTTTTTCACGCCATTCATCAAGCTCAGAGAGTTGCATCTTCCTCTTGGTTCCTACGGCTTCAAAGTCCATGTTCCATCGTTTGATGGCCTAGTGAGCCTTGAATTTTAGATCAACAGGTAGATGACAAGTCTTTCCATAGACAAGTTGGTTTGGTGACATCCCAAGTGGTGTTTTATAGGCCGTTCTGTAAGCCCATAGTGCATCAGGTAGTCTATATTTCCATGCAATCCCCATCTCATTGACCGTTTTCTGCAGAATATTCTTGATTTGTTTATTTGATGTGTCTGCTTGGCCACTTGTTTGAGGGTGGTATGGAGTAGCGACATTGTGATAGATCCCATGTCTTGACAAGTAGCTGTAAAAGTTCTTGTCAGTGAAATGAGTGCCTCCATCACTAATCACCATCCTTGAAATTCCGAATCTTGGAAATATTATCTCTTCAAACATCTTCTTGGAGTTCTCTTAGCATCAGCAGCTCTACATGGCATGGCTTCAACCCGCTTGGAGACATAGTCAACTGCCACCAAGATGTATTCACAGTCTTCCTTGGTGGTTTTATAATTAAATCCTGCTAGAAACACAGATTCACCAAAACTCGTGGAATTTATCAGTTTAAACCCCTAAGTCTATAGTGGTGATCCAGTTTAGCCATTTATGCAAGTTATATTGATGATTTGTGATGAATGTTAACTACCATCAATAGCTATGTAGAAAAACTACTATCTATGCTCATCCACAGACCACAATATATACCCAACTAAAAAATGATCTGACCATAACATATACCCAACTAAAAAATGATCTGTCGAGTGCATTTGGCACATGTTTTGACATATCCATCATAATTAGTCATGGTAGGGTACTGAAATTTGCATCTTCTATCCTTTAATCTCTTGGACTAACTTTAAGTGGTGGACATTATAACTGGCTACAATGTGTCAGGCGGGTGCTACTTGCTTACTTTACTTACCAACATGTTTGATTTGTTTCTTCCTTTACTAAATCTCTGTTCTTCATACAACTGTCCCTGCAGAACAAAAGTTATAGTCCAATACTTGTGCATGCCAAAGTTTAAAACAAACTTGTACACAGCCATGGAGCATGCAGGTAAATCAGAGAGGGGCAATTGGTAGTTTGCATCATATTCATTTTCTCCCGACTTTAGTTTTTTTAGTTCAAGGAAAGCATATGGCAGACGAAGGGTATGAATGCATATTAGGGACCGTTTGGTAGGGTTGTGTAGAAGTGATTCTCTATTAGAATCACTCCTCCCTGGCCAAACAACTAATCTCGCAGAGATTCAGGTGGGGAGCAGGTAAGAACCAGTTCTTCATTTTACACTGGGAGGTGGGAGATAAAAAAACCTGCTCTCCACTACCCCTTGTTCACAACCCACAAGAATCACTCTAGAATAAATTCTCACCCGCTCTCCCACCATAAGCAAGTAGAATCACTCTACTGGAGAATCAAGGAGCAGAGCCAATGAATCTAAGAGTGAATCTTGTTAGACCTTATTATCACTTCTACTGGATCTCAATTAGCCTAATTATAGAAACACCTAAGCCTTAATTGATACTTAATTAAACTTATTACCCGATTAGAGAGACCTTCTGGATCCTTGCGAAGACCTTTGCCTGCTTGATGCAGGCGTGTACAAATGGTGTAGAGGTGGAGACGACACTGGCACAAAGGTGGCCGGTGGTTGGCGTAGCCGCGTAGGTCTTAAGAGCCACTCCTGAGCCACCTTGATTGGTAGGTGTTAGATCTTACCTTAGATTGACTTAGAGAGAAGGACGGGATCCATCTCTTTATGTACTCAGAGTGGTCTAGGACCAGGCCATTTTTCTGTTAGGAGTGACCCCCCGGTCAGGGTCATTGAGTGCCTGTTAAGCCCCTTTGACTTGGTCTGTATTGACAGTCTGAGATCAATCCAACAAAGCTCTACCCAACAGGCCCTTAAGAGGACCCAAGGGGGGGGGGGGTGTTCAGCCCAGTGTCTTTGCAGCCCTCGACCAATGCTCATACAATATGAGGAAAACTTATTTCTTGAGTCTACAATGCATATATAGTGACCGAAGGCCAGCCTTTCATATTGTTTTCTTCATATAGTGACTGAAGGTTGTTCATGTAAATGGGATGGCTGCTCTTTCTACCAAGTTCCAAGCTCCAACTATATATATCCACAAGATATGTTCTGTACATGAAACCATTAAATACATAGGCCCTGTTAGCAAGGCTTTGACTATTTTACAAATGAGAAATGACTCTTCTCAGATGGAGCAATTTCTGTGGTGAATTTAAAGCCATTTGGAAAAATATTTGGTAAAACAACTCCGGCAAGGAGGGGCATAGGAGCCAGAGGAGCATGTAGAGTGACCTGCAGGACAGGAGGAAGACTCACACTTTAGGCTGCTCATAGAAGAAGCCAAGAAACGCCGTAACTTGAAAATGGACACTATGATTGCAACCAACAGCAGGATATACACTATACCAAGCTGTTACATAGAGTGCAGAGGGGTCATAACATTTCTTACACCTAAGTTGGGTAGTTTATCGCAGTTCAGAGGCTATTATACAGACGCTAAACCGGCAGCCTGCTAGCTATATTGTCTGGTGGATACCATTACCATCACACTACTCTTATCAGGGCAAAATACACTATGAAGCAGTGCCTCCTGAAGAGTTACTACTTACTAGTGCCTGCTGCTGCACAGCATCTACGACCCTGTATTTGCGGCGTCGTTGCCATGCTGCTTCTGAGCGACCAAGGAGTGGAACCCAGGCCCCTGCGACTGGACAAACTGTCTGGTGTCCGCACCGACGGCGTCGATCAGGGCCTTGAAGCTCTTCTCCCGGCCCCTCGACAGCAGCGCATCCACAATGAACCCCACGCTGCTCCGGGCGAGGCTTGTGGCGTGGCTGCGTGACACGGCCTCGATGCGCGACACCAGGTCTTCCAGCAGCTTCACGGCCTCCTCCAGAGAGGAGCTGCTAACCACGCCGGATGGGGATGGAGGATCCGAACCCAGCCTGACGAACGTGGCACTCAAGCGCGGGGGCGAGGCAGTTCATGGCAGCGACTGAAGACTGTGCCTCCAGCTGAAACGCTTGCGCTGTCCTCAGCTTTGCTCTGGTTCCCTCAAGCACCTCCTCGTTGTTGGCAATGGTGAGGATCCCCTCAGTGTTTCTCTGGTTGCCTCAAGCTCCTCTTCCTTGTTGCTTAGCTTCTCGGTAAGCTCCTGGACCTGCTGCTCCAGGTCTGAGGTCCGAACACCCAAAGCGACTGATGCCCGAATCTGTTAATTGTGGGATCAGCACATGAAGAGCTATTAACTTATGCAAAGTATCTTTTAAGCAAGACAGGTAAGAAGAGTCTTTTGGAAGGCCATGCCTGTGGAAGGAGAGAGTCTAGCTTCTGTAGGATCTCCTGCTCCGAGGAACCTACCATGAAATCATTCACTTGCTCCTTCATGGAAGTGCTGGCAAGTTGCACGACATCCTCTGCTACACCTTGGACATCCTCTGCTGTAATAGTAACAAATGTTGATACAGCCTGTTAATTCACAGAAAAGGAAAAAAAAATCATGAAAAGCAATAGCGCACGTCAGAAAATAGCTTACCGTCTTCAGAACCCCCAGTCACTTCATGTTCACCTTTGGGTACAGCAGATACCTTTGCATCACCATGGAACTCGTCTGATGCCTCCTGGGGAGGTGTTGTCCCCTCAGTAGCCATGACAATGTCACCATCAGTTTGCTGGTGCACAAACAACTCACTTGAATGACACACCGTAGTTTGCAGGTGTTATGGCAAGGAGAGCTGGCCCACGGGCCCACGCGGTACTACAGGGCATGAACAGATTAGATTAGATTGTTTGGTTGGTACTGTAGCGCGTGAACAGATTAGATTAGATTGTTTGGTTTGTTAGGAAAGAGATATGTGGTTTGGTTTGTTAGGAAAGATATATGTTAGATTGATTTGGTTAGGATATTTTTTTAGGGGTCAAGTCAGTCATCTCTATAAAAGAGAACCCTGTATCAGTTATAGTTAAGTAAGAAGCAACAATTAAATTGCTGGCTTCCCCTGGGAGCCAGCCATTCCTACCCTCTCTCCCTCGTGTGAACAGTACCCCCGCGGGTACTGTAGCTCCATCGCCGCCTCTCCCTCTAGATCCTAGCAGCCACATAACAGCAGGTTATCATAACCAATCAAGCCATCCTCATTTTCTTCCCTTCTCTCTTCTGGTTCCTCTATCTGTCTTATGTCGAGCTGCCTTCTTGGATAAGTCTTCCAATTTGTTATCCTATCAACAAGTCAAACTCCATAATATCAAAGATATAAAAGCTCAAATGAACTCTAGTTCCGTTGACATGGATAGAGAGGACATATAAAATTTCCAAATTCAGGAGAATGTGTCCTGAAAGACCTTTCAATAACTTTATTGTGGAGGTTAATGATATGTGTTCCAATAAATCAAGAGCAAAAGATGCAAACATGATATTAATACCCACAACTGGATTGTAAAGAGCATCGAAAGGAGTTTTATTAATTTGGCAATGAATGGATATAGAAGGTGATTCTAAACGAATCACATCATAGGAAAGCTCTAATTCTTTTAATCATTTATTGCTTATAATAGATACTAGCTCTTTCGTAGTCTTTTTAAGGAAAGCTTCCTTAGAAGGGTCTAATGTTTCTACATGAGATGATGATTTTTTAGACTTCTGGGGTCTCCTCATATTATGGTAATTTCGAGGTATTTCCATATTCATCAAAAAGTTCATCCTCGAATTCTAGCATGAAATCCGAAATTAGAGTTTCCTCTTTTTCTAGTGGTTCAGGATTTGGGACAGCTGAAGTTGGTGATGGGTCTAGTAAAGATTCAGGTTCAGCTATCTGGGATTCTTCCTCTAATGGCTTGTCGTCTTCTTTCTTAGGGATGTTCTCTAAAATTTTCGTAATAATGCTTCTCCCTGCATTTGCGGAGACATGCAAGAACGAGCCTCCTCAGGTCGTATTAAGAAGTGTTGAGGATTCTCTATCAAGACCCATATAAAAGTATTGAAGAAGAATAGGGTCTTGAATGGCAAGGTCAGTGCCAGTATTGATAAGAGTATTAAAGCGTTCCTATGCCGTGCCTAGAGATTCTTTTTTCTTTTATTTAAAAGATAGAACCTCTGAACGAAGTTTGACTACCCAAGAGATGGGAAAGAATTGCAAGCAAAAGCTAGAACACAGAGCTCCCCAATCTCCTTGTCTACTCCCTATAGTGAGATTGTACCAACATTTAACTTTTCCCGTCAAGGGAAAGGAAAAAGCTTCCATCGTAAGGTTTCGTCTAATATGCCTACAATGCGTAAGCATACACAGGTCAGCTCAAACACATTTAGGTGGCAACAGGGGTTTTCGTCATATTCGCCCAAAAAGGGTTGATCCTGAACCATATTAACTAAACACGGGCGCAGCTCATAGCCAGGTGTTAGGATAGGCTTTGAAGACTCTTTTGGCTATAGGCTTGCGCTCGTGGGTGCACCAAATTGGTAAATAGGGGTGTATTCTAGATCCATGGTAAAAAGAATAAAAGAATAAAAGAAAAGATAAAAGTATAATACAAGGATAAGCTAGGTTCGAAGTTAACTCAGCAACCGTTCCTCGGCAACGGCGCCAGAAATGCTTGTTGGTATAAATTAATGCACACAAAATAATCCGCAAGCGCATAGATATTATACCGTTGTAGCACTTCACCGAGAGTAATCTAGTTTTATATCGAACCCAAAGGAATAGGGGTGAGAATAACCGATTCTAACTTAAACCAAACTTCACAATCAAGGCTAGATAATAGGAGCATAGAGGAGACTGCTAAGGTCTTCTAGTTCTAACTTCAGTAAGCTTTATCTTCTATTATTCAATTATGGGGATAATACTAGAGAAAACATAGACTGAGTATGTTTCCTATAGCAATACTGTCCTGCTAGTCCTATTAATGGGAGGTGAACTACAGAGGATTCAACGAGGCTATAAAAGTCACCCTCGCGAGTTACCACCAATCCAGAAAATAGGGTACATCTACGAGTAACCGAGTCTAAGCGCCACGCTTATACTACGAATACTACTTTAACCTAGGAGCTACAAGGATTAAAATACTCAAAAGAGAGTCGCAAACCTAAAGAACAATATGAAAAAGATGCTTACTTAAATTAGAAGTCGATTCCTAGAGAAACCTTAGAAGCAAGCTCAAGAAGAACTTGATTCCACCGGGTACAAGCCATAGAGAGAGCACCAATAGGCCGAGACTCCTCCAGAACTCTTCCCTCACACTCTATCTCTCTATTTCTAGAACTAGACTAGATCCTATGGAGGACTAATCTTCGCTTGATTGCTAGCTCTGATCCTGGTGGACATATGAAATAGGGTTCCTGGCTTCTCAGCTCTTAGGATCATATGAGCATTGCCTCAGGGGGGTACAGGCTGGATTATATAGCCCTGGGGGTCCAACATGAGCCCTTGGATCAAACCGACTTAAGCAACGACCTAGATGCATCCTCAAAGGCGGTGGGAAACCGACATAGGAAGCTGGCTAATAGGTGGGCCCACTAGGGGCTGAGCGGCCTAACAGTGGGGCCGGGCATCCCCACATGTTAGCCACTCGGGCTCCGCTTTGGTGACGTGGCTTCTGGATCCTTCTAGAGTCTTCCCATGTAGGTACGGCGGCGGGATTCCGTATTTTCCTTTGACGATTAGGTCCTCCTTGGTGGTTTTCTGATTAAATCCTACTGGAAACATAGATTCACCAAAACTCATGGAATTTGTCAGTTTAAACCCCTAAGTCTACTTTAATGATTCATTTATACCCTTATGATGTTTAATTGACGGATAAAATATGTATAATAACTACCGTCAACAGTCTTCATATATGGTTGGCCAAAAGAATCCACTCTGCCAATTTTTCGCATGAGTGCGGAATGCGCCATAATGTCCTTCATATGGTGATGAGTGGCATCATTCGATAATCTTTATGCCTTCCTCTGCCGGTACACATCTTTTGAGCAAACCGTCAGAACATACTCGGAAGAGGTCCGGCTCATACCATATGTGGAGACGATTTTCGTAGATGAGCTTCCTATTGTTTTCCCCTGGTGGTACATAACCTACAACCATAAAATTAACAATATTTGCATACCAAGGGTTGGATTTTGTAACTTTGAAGAGCATGTCGTCCCGCAACGAATCATTGATGGGAAGTTCTTGCGAATTCTCAAACTGCATTCTAGACAAGTGATCGGCAACAAAATTTTCTACTCCCTTTTTATCTTTTATTTCTAAGTCAAATTCTTGAAGTAACAAAATCTATCTTATCAGTCTAGGTTTAGCATCTTTCTTAGTGAGCAGGTACTTCAAAGTAGCATGATCAGTATAAACAATCCCTTAGCTCCTACTAAGTAAGATCTAAACTTATCTATAGCAAAAACAACAGCCAAGAGTTCTTTTTCAGTTGTTGCATAATTAAGTTGAGGTCCTGTCAAAGTTTTGCTAGCATAAGCAATTGTAAGATGCTTTTTATCTTTTGTTTATCCCAAAACTACCCGCATAACATAATCACTAGCATCACACATAATTTCAAAAGGTAGCGACCAATCAGGGGGTTGAATGATTGGTGCAGAGATAAGTGCTTTCTTAAGAATGTTAAAAGATTTCAAGAACGCATCATCAAATTCAAAGGGAACATCCTTAGCCAAAAGATTTGTAAGTGGTCTAGCAATATGTGAAAAATATTTTATAAAGCGATGGTAAAAACTAGCATGACCAAGAAAACTATGGATCCCTTTGATATTTACAGGAGGAGGTAACTGTTCGATTACTTCAATTTTAGCTCTATCTACGTCAATCCCTACTTCAGACACCAAGTGTCCAAGCACTATGCCTTCTCAAACCATGAAATGACATTTTTTCTAATTAAGGACTAAGTGCTTTTCTTCACATCTTTGCAAAATCTTGTCTAAATTTTCAAGACAATCATCAAAAGTTTTTCTATAAACAGAAAAGTCATCCATGAAAACTTCCATGATTTCTTCAATCATACAAGAAAATACAGACATCATGCATCTTTGGAAAGAAGCTAGAGCATTACATAATCCAAAAGACATTCTACGGTAAGCATAAGTTCCATATGGACATGTAAAGGTGGTTTTGCTTTAGTCATCTGGATGAATCGATATCTGGTGATAACCGAAATACCCATCAAGGAAAAAGAAAAAATAGTGATTCACCAGCCGCTCCAACATTTCATCAATGAAGGGCAACGGAAAGTGATCCTTCTTTGTTGCCTTGTTAAGTTTTCGGTAATCTATACACATCCACCATCCAGTGATGGTTCTTTGGGGGATTAATTCATTCTTTTTATTTTTAACTATAGTCTGCCTTCCTTTTTAGGCACAACTTGAACAGGGCTTACCCACTCACTATGTGGCATGGGATAGATGATCCCGGCGTGCAAGAGTTTCAAAACCTCTTTCTTAACAACCTCTCTCATCGCATTATTAAGCCTATGTTGGGGCTCCCTAGAAGGTAAGGAGTTAGGATCTATAGGGATGCGATGGGTGCAAAGAGCAGGGCTAATTCCCTTAAGGTCTTGGAGTGAGTAGCCAAAAGCAGAACGATGCTTTTCTAAGACAGTTAGCAAGCAGAGGGATTCTTCCTGAGAGAGTTTATCACTTATGATCACTGGAGAATCCTGA